GAAGGCAGATTGCATATATTCATGTCGTTCATCGTTATACCGCGTGAAACACAGTAAAGTACTGTCATACATACGTGCTATGGACTATTTTGCTTAAAACGATTACCAGAGGTTCAATGACAATTTTCAGGGCTATATGCTGAGTTTAAACGGCCCTTCGTTATTATGTAGCTTAAGTTTTAAGATATGGCAATTAACCTCCAACTACAAACCGTTAGGGATCCTCCTGCGATGCGAGCTGTAGCCAATTTTCCATATGTTATTTGATTATTAATGAGGCTGAGAAGGACAAACTTAACAAAGTTTTCGAAACAGCTGCGGTAAAAATGAGGGCTTACACGTGTAACAAACCGTGTAGATGCCTTTCACCATGCAAATGCATTTTTTATTTAGCACAGAGTGCGTTATAGTTTGAGCGTAGATTCCTATTAATCCCAAGCTGGAGTCAGATGAAATCTTATTTCATTTCGTGTGAATAATTCGATAAACAATCGATGAATTATTGGAAAGTTTAGTCATTGGGATATTTTGACAACTTTTGGGCTCAGTGAGAGAAAGGCTAGTTTTGCGCACGCACACTGAGAACTTCTAAAAGTGCTCTGGTTCAAAGCGTAAAGAATTACTATCCATGTGGTTACACTCAGACAGATGTATGAAGCGAGCTGTGCAGTTTAATAAATGATCGAATCCGTTCAACTGTTCATCTGCCCACAACAGAGAAGTAACCGAAAGTGCTGAGCCTTGGTCTGCTGCGTTTCTCTAAGCCTCAACTGTAAGTCTGCTCTAGATCGGCGTGAAAACTGCAGCTGAAGGTGCGAGCGTCCGCATGACATCGACCACGCGTCAGCTTGTAGATATAAATCTAGGTTGGCCACTCATCGTCATTCAAGATCACTACCGATTCAGTAACCAACTCTGAAAATCTACTGCTTGAGAAGGAGCGCCGTAGACAACGCCAGCCATATGCCCTTGCGCACTGTACACTGCCAAGTGTTTTCTGGGTAGCATGCAGTTCGATAGTATGCGGTTCGTACACGACTGATAGCTGCTGAGAGATTAAGGAAAAGTTTCACGTTAAGTCATAATCAGTAATTCACATAATAAAGCGCTATATCAGAGTTAATAACGAATTATTCTGATGTCTAACTTAAAAAGGTTATCGCCTCGTAATTAGGCTGTTATCATTATCATTAGACTATTGGCTAATACATTATCAAACGCGTTTCCTCTTTAATATGCCATTTACTCAACGTTGGCTTCAGTAATATTTCAATGTGCAAAACTGAAGAAATACTCCAGAAAAGAAATGAAAGAATGCGCAGAGAGCACAAAAAGGTTTATTAGTATACATAACATTATAATGGGTTATCTAATGATTGATCGACACCGATTTTTGCTTGCATTCCAGTAGTTCTCAGAAAATCTGACTAATTTCGGTAATTGTTCGAGTCGTCTTCAGCACAGAGGCTTGCGGTTTTTGCTGTCTAATAGTTAGTCCCTTGGTGAAACGTGGCAAGGCTCATTCAATCGTAATGTTTTACCGTTAAAAAATGTCTCAAAATCAGTTTAATACAGTCGATTACCGCGTCAAAGTTTATTCATCTCATCGCAAGCGTCTGCTTTAGCAAGGTGCTTACAGATTTTGTATTGCTCGGCATTGTATCTGCGATCAATGACGGTTCCCAGTGCATTTCCATTTTGTTTTAAGCTATTTCATTAAAGTACGATAAGTCTTGAAACTTTGTCGACAGAACATGCTCCTTTTTGACATGAAATGAATTCCGATATTTCTAGAATATTTTGCAGACAGTCCTCTTAGAAGTTGTCGAGCGAAGCATCATAACGATTCCCGATATAAATGTGTACCGGTATACACACACGCACTAGCACCGAAATTGCGCCTATATTCAGATGGTGATCACCACGACCTTTGCCATCTTCATTATCTGTTTCGTCGTTTCATACCGCTTTCTGAAAGTCGTCAAAGTCAGTCAAATGCGCCGGTCAACTTCAAAATCTTTATCACCATTATTAGTCAAAACTGTTCCGATGCATACGGTCTGCCTCCTGCATCGTCATAATATTCCAGTGTCTTCTTGTCATCAGTGGCGACAGACGCTGCAATAATCTTTGACTTCCTGGTGTTGATACTGACTTGTACCCATTCCCGTCGAATCATTGCATGCACCTGCGCTGAGTGTCAATAAGCCATTTACAGCATTACTCAGCAGCACAACGCCGTTCGGTTTGTCAAGAAATATCATTGGGTAACCAGAACTGCGTCGATGACTTACCGCTGCATATATAAAATGCATAAAACAAACTAACGTTATCCTTTGAAAAAAACGAACACATAGTTACAAATGCTGGTGAAGAGGCAAGTGAACTGAAAGAATGTCAAGATATGCGCAGAATGCGCAGCTCTGAAAAGCAAAAACATGATACTCGCTTAGGTATTTTTACTTTTTATAAGTTCGGCAAAACTGTTTATACAGAGCATTTCATGAAAATACATGTAAGGCTTCAGCTTGACAGACACAGTGAATTGCTCTGGATATGGTTCAGGTGGTGGATGAAAAAAGACCTTTCCGTCGATAACCTGAACATGCGACGTCAATTATGGCATTGAAAAATCATGAAAACTTTTAAAAATAAAGTAAATCTTCAGTTTTAACTCATACTTTTAGGGAAAAACTACTCATATCAACATTACCAAATTTGCTGAAAAACTCGCTAATTTTTGAATCATACCAAAGTCGTTCATTATTCAAAAATGTTGTATTAATGCAGTATTTCGACAAAATATATTTTAAATATACACATATATTGCTAAGTTTGATACCGCTGCTATGAGAAATGACATTTTCCCTTTTGATACTGGATTAAAACGGAGTAATAAGAACACCGTTCCCTTGCTTCTAGCGGTCTAGGAGACTATTTAAACAGGCCAGGCTCCTTGCGCACTACGAATAATTTCAAAACCGTATCACTGCACTTCTGTTCGGCCCTTAAAAAAAAGTGTCGCCGTTGAAATGTCGATCTTCCATACGCTTTCATGGTGGGACCATTCTGGCGCCCTTTCTTCATGAAATTGACGGTGCGATGCTCCTATGCTATCAGTCAGGAGTGTCGTATTTTAACGGCTTAGTGTACAGCCATATGGCCAGCGCAGCGTGCAGTTTCCTGTTTCCTTCGAACAGAGTGGTACTTATTTACCAACGCCGGAAGGAATAAAGGCAAGTGACTACAACCGTGGTTCAAACTCGGGTCCTCGGTTCTGTATCGACTGAGAAAAACAAGCCTGAAGCAACATTGTGCTATATTGCTTGCTCAAGGGAATTTGTGAAGTCAAAGATTGCCCTCGGGCGAAATCGAACCTAACACCTCCAGAGTTCGATGTAGACCTCCGCGCCGTGCGACCACGCCACTGCAGATGACTGCGCGAAGGCGAGTGTTAATGCAGCTGTGCATTAATAATGAATGACTGTATCATATTCCCCAAACCACTTTCTACTCAGAAGTTTAGACGTCAATAAACACTTCGATTACAAGATGAGATAGAAAAATGGAGCGATACACTGCGACCTGGAGAGATAATCGAATCTGTCAAATCATTTTTTTACGAAGCAAACAAACGCTGGCAGAATCACTCCGCAGCAATGGATATTTGATGCAGTGCGATGAGAAACGAAGGACTGCCTTGTGCTGGCTTTAACTGATTGCAAAGACAAAATAATAACGTGCATCTCGAATCGTAACAGAAATTATCTGACTGCTTATGAGTACTTACAACGCAATCGAAGTAAAAGGATTTAAACACCAGACCGTAAATCACAAGCACAACTGTCGATTCCGCAACGCAGGCCTACGCTGGGCAACAAGAACGGTCATGAGAGAAAAATCAACTTTCTCGAAAGCTGTAAAGCTGAACCAACGTTATGAAGAAACCTCAATGGCTAGAACCCCTGCGACACCATCTTGGAAAGAATCACACAGTTCTGTCCAAATAAGAACACAGAAACCATTGTTACTTAAACAAAGCTATCATGTTTCCAACTGTTAGTTCTTTCATTTGCATGCAAATATTGAGTTTATTCAAAAAAGCAAACTAAACGATAATTTGCTGAAATTGCTGTGCCGAAGAACGGATCGGATAAAACACAAAATTCGAAGCAACCACATCTATTAACGCACTGGTATGAGTTGAGAAGCAAAAAGTTGTTCCGAACAACTTGTAACTATTTATTACCAATGTGTAGTTATCAGTTAGCGAATGATTTTTCAGACATAAATTACGGCTTGTTTGCTATTCAGTACTAGAAGTATGACTCTTACTTGAAAACCCTTCTCAGAAAAAATCTTCTGAACATGGTCGGCAGATGTGTTCAACCAACGTTCGAGCAACGCTACCGGAAGAGTGCCATTTCTAGAGTGAAACGCTTTGCGGCACACTTCACAAAGCGTGCTCCTCATGATTCCAATGTTCAAGGCACCGGCAAATCGTTCGATCGGTTTCAACTGTCGGAAGGTGCGAAAAAATTTGATAAAGTTGCCACTCTTTAAGCTTCTTACAAAGTCACACACTGGCATGATCACCGCCGGAGGAAACAACGCACGATCAGTGGCCCACGTTCGCATGAATTCCGACATCAAACTGTCGTTGTTCGCATTGTAAAGGACACATAGCAGAATGAATTTCTGCATGTGTACGCCCTTTTTCAGCTCATAGCACGAAAGAAGTCTATCGATGCACTCTCTGGTTTGCTGTTCATGAAGAATAGGATCATACGAACGTGAACTTTCGACGATGCATCTGAAATTCAGACTTATCTGCTAAACTTCTATGTACAGCAGTGAAACAAAAGCAAACGAAACCACACAATTATCAGTGAACAGTGATCTCTCTTATCAACTTACCAAACCTGAAATGCCTGAAGAAACATTAGAACGTTTACCAATTCAAGGAATTATGGAAAAGCATCGAAAAACTTGCGACAAGAATGGAAACGAAGTCGACTTTTCTAGACACTTGGTATATTTTTGGTCCTCAGATGTAACTTAGAAACCACCGCCAACCTAAATGGTGTTCCGACATCATAACCTCTAGCCCTGCAGCAAAACTGCAAATTCCTCAAATTTTACGCTGCCTGCTCAAGTTAACGTTAAGTATTCGGTAGCAGATGAGTAAGTGACTCTGTCTGCTTCCAATGGTAGAACTACACCAGCCTCTATAATATAACTCCGCCGTTGCCAGTCCCAAGCCCGGATCAGAGAGGAAGAAGGCTTGAGACCGCAGCGAGGTTTCCCTAAAACTTAGCTACCTACTCCTCATGGCATTGCCATCACTGAACATTATGCCGGCTAGGTCGTCGCCCGGGTTACCAAGGGCTGCGGAAGCAGCCCAGGACTGAGGCATGATGCGAAAAGTCGGGAATGAAAAAAGCTCATCGAGTTCTAGCAGCTGGGGGCGTAGCAGGACCACAACGTAAAGCGAATATCGAGAGAGAGAGAGAGAGAGAGAGAGAGAAAGAGAGAGAGAAATGACGATAAAGGTACTAATCAGCAACGGAGCCGCTACCCGTTTCGAAAGAAGGATTACAGCGCGATGCCATTATATCATGTCAGATAAGACGCAACGGGAACGACACCCGGGAATGGTGGGAGCTTGCATTCAGAAATTAAAACACATTCTCAAGCACAGGGAAAGAAGAGGTAGTGGAAGAGATCGCAAGGTACAGTCGAATTAAATAAGGCTCTTATCAATGAAGTGCTAAACCTCTGATATT